GCAAATTAGAAATTTCCTGTATTCACATAAAAAAAATAAATCTCATCTGTTCAGGTAATAGGATTTTACAAAAATGTATATGAATATGCAGTAAACACAGACAGACTCTCCTCTACTAAAGCACATCATTAGCAACTTTCTAGCTGTGAGATGGCTAGATTTTAATCCTCAGGAGCTACTTCTTTTCCTTTGTACCTGTTCAGTAGCTAGACTAATACAACAAGAAGCCTGTATAGGAAGCTCTACGTTCTCAAGGGTAAAGCGGGGCTTAGGTACAAGGGTAACATAACATCCCTGATTATCCAGCTACTATGAGAAATGCAGAAAAGCACAATCTGGAAACTCAGCCACCCACCAATGAAGTCCATGTGGGTCCTTCAGGACTTAGCACTTTGGTGTCTCTGTACCATGATTCCTCCAGAACTCCAAACTCGGGAGGTCTTCTTAACCATCGACATCAACTACCCTGCACAAAGCAAGTTCAGATCCGGATTTCCAGCCAAGCTAATAAAACCCCCTGGAACATGGAGCACAGCACAGAAACACCCAAGTGGGTCTGCACAGAGCCAGCTTGGGTCCATCAGGACTTATATAGTTCAGACACTGTCTGAAAGCAGCTGCACTGCAAAGCTGGTCCTGGAAACAGCAGAGATGTGTTAACATGGCACAACACTTGAATTAATAAACTGTTAGTGCTGAGCTGAGTCTGCTCTAGGCCAAATCTGGTGCCTGTATATCCACAGCATAGTTAATCTGCAACTGGAGAAACCACCCAAAGAATTGACTCTATTTTCGAGCCCAGCGTGCACAGCTCTACCCCTATCCACATGCCCAAGTTTTCTGTCCTCATCACCTCCCTCCATATGACCAATCCCTCCATCTACCCTCTTCCTGTTTGTTCATCATTTTCTTTCTTGACTATTCACATCCATTTCTCAACCTTCCTCTAAATGTCCATGACAAGGCTGCACAATGTACACCAGCAGCTTCCAGCCTTTCAGGAGTGATTAATATGGTTACCACCTTCCCCTCATCCTACCTTCTCCACCAGACCAACACTTCCTAACTCCTCTCCCCCTGACTTCTGGCTTCCCCTTTGTCCTGCCCTTGGTGTTTCAATCCCTAACAGAGGGACAATTATGCTTATAGAAACAAAGCTAAAAGATGATTGTATTGGCATATCAAATCATCCCGCCTCCGTGGAAAAAAATAAGTATCAGCAGAAACACCACCACAAGAGCTCTCACCAGGACAAGGGCAGGCTACCATTTCTACAGGTAAAATGTGCTACCTCACCTAGAAGTTGCTTACCAGCCAGCCCAGGCATGACTGCCTGAGGCTCTCCTTTCCCCTTCCTACTCAGACTTCCCTTGTGTGACTCTCCCATGCCAAACCGCCTCAGTGTCTTGGTGTGGCAAAGGGCTGGTGAGAGCAAAGACTGTCATCAGGCTGCTGCTAAGATCAGTGAATGAGGAAAGAATGCCATAGGAAAGAATGAGGGTAAGCAAAGACTGATTGAAATGAAGCACAGGGTGACTGGCCTGCTGACTGAACATCAACTCTGCCCCTCAGCTCAGGCAACTCTGCTCCCCCTTCTTACCTTCACCCACCTCTACAATCCACGTCAAACACCTGCTGAGTTGTGTGGTTTGTAGCTCTGTCCTATGATGTGTAGGCACGAGATGGACACTAATGATCAAAGCTTTACAGTACTGGAAATAAAATGGTGAAGTTAACCACTTGCAACAGAAAGTGACAGAGTCTGGCCCTCTAGAGCAGTTCAAGTGGGCCGGGATAACACACATCATTGGTGAAACCACCACTCCAACTGCATTACTCCTCTAGCCATAACCATGACTTCAACAAAGAACATGGGCAGTTCTACCTGACAGAGGAGATTCCTTGTTTCTGAGCTGTTTCCAGAACACTGAAATCAATATAAAAATTAAGAAATCAGAAACAAAATTGAAATTTATCTCCTCAGTCATCAAACATGCTTTGAACAGCAGAGCAGCAATCTACTGTCTATGCAATATAACCTAGTGTATAAATGTGTACTGAAACAAGGAAATTAGTAATAATTTTATAACCTTTAATACTAAAGCAGACAAGCATACTCTGCTCACTTTCTACAGCAATTAGAAAATGAAATCTGCCTACTTTTTAGCTGCTGTGTTCCAGATATCAACCTGGTGCTGTCAGTGCTGAAGTCCAAATAAGAAAGAATCTCACCTTTCTCTTACATGCGCTTTTTACGCAGTTAAGTGTTTCTATATGTCACATAAGCAGCAAAACCCCAGTCAAGAGACTTGTGCAAAATCAGACAGATTCTCAGAATGACATAGTAACTAAAGAATCAGAGCAACACATGCATCATCATTCAGAACTCCAGCCATATCTTCACCTTGTTCTAGGAAGCTACTGTTGAACCTCTAACAGTCTGAATGATTGAAAAATATTGATACTTAAGAAATTAAGTTTCAGTTCTCATTGGTTTACTTCTATACTTCTGACAGACTTCATTCTTTTTTAGACTAAGATATCTAGTCCCTCTGCAAAACTAGTCACCATCTCCATCCACACAGGAACTTTTAAGATGTCACAATCAAAGCAAGAGGAATGGCATATATCCAAGTGGAGATGTTATAAGGTTGCGTAGGATGGTATACATTATCAATCTTACAGGCTGCTCTAGGAGTCAGACTACCCAGGTGAGTAGTTAAAACTAACTTAAGCACTTGAAAACAGGACCTTAGAAAGTGCCTTTATTACAAGAAAAGTTTTGGAGCTTCTTGGATAGCATTAAAACACACCTTGCTCCTTCCTCCCACTATGCACAGGATAATGGCCACAGATACAAGAAGATAAATAGGCTATTTACACCTAGGTGTTGGTAGACTTATTAACAAATGGTATTAAATTCATATCCAGAACTAGATCCTGCAATTATTTACATGAGTCGTTTTTATGCATGTATGCAGCATAATGCCATGTGGGTATTATGAAGATACAGATTGCCATATGAATAAAATTTAAGATACTCAAAGAAAAAGCATGTTTTGTTATAAATCCAACTGCATCCATCTTCACTCCTAAAAGTAATCAGGTCTTCCTACTACAAATTCTGCTAAATGACCAATGAAGAACTTCTGAGATCCATTCAACAAAACAGTTAAGAAATACAAAACTTTGAAAAGTGACAGACATTAACTTTAAAAATCTCTTTTCTGAAAAGAAAAAAGAAAAAAGTTAAAACCAAACTAAAATCATTAAATCTATTTCATTTCAGAAGTCCTGTTCATAGGATTGGAAAGTCTCATCAGCCATGGAGTTCCGACATTATCAGTCACAGACTTTTTTTAAAATCACTATGTGCTTTGAGGTTCTACTAAGGCTTAATAAACTTTCTTACAGGTCTGGAGTACTATATAAATTTTGTCAGAGCTGTGCTGGCATAATTGGTAATGCAAACTGTCTGGCTTCATGAAAGTTACAAGCTCTGGCTCCAATCCTGCAAACACTTACTGAAAAATTTAACTTACTGCACAGAACTGACTACTCATGCATAAGTTAAGCATATTTGTAAATATTTGCACAGTACGGACATCTGTTGGCATAGCCAGTCATCTGATACACAAGATTCAGCTTTAAATCCTAGTCTGCAGAGAGTCAATATTAAAAAACGGAATTCCTCAGTTATACATTCCTTTCTTAGGCATCAGGCATGTCAGATACCAAAGGGTGGGATTGAAAAGTTAAAACCAGAGGAAGAGAGGAATCAGTGAGATCAAAACAATTGGTTCTGTTTCTCATGTAACTAGAGAAGCCTGGTTCCTCACAGATGCATGTCTTAAGACTGAACTCCTGCCTTGTTTTCACCCTCTGCTGAACTAAGCTCTTGCTATACCTTTCCTTCAGTGATGCCATTTATAGCATTTCTCACATCATTGCCAATATTTTCACAAAGCTCATAAAATTACTCCAAAGAGCTCCTCCTTTTTGGATCAATCAGGTTTGGTTGAAATTAACACCCAAAAGTTTTGGGTGGGGTAAGAAATAGGCACAGTATGAAGTTGACCCACAGAGAATTGTGGAAGTTGCACTTCATTAGGAAATCAAACTGAAAAAAAAAAAGCAGTTACAAAATGCCTCCTTCCCCTTAGTGTCTTGGAGTTTGAGCACATCCTATTTCACTCATCCTCTTTTAACACAAAAACCTTTTGTCATCTATGAATTTAAAATTCTAAAACCTGATACTAGGCAGAAATAAATGTAAAGGGGGAAAGGCACCTTCCCATTTATTCAGTGCTAAGTGAGAGAAACTAAGCCTACATAGTGTTTAAGGCCTTGTGTATATATTGCATCTGCAGAGCTGCCATGTGGAGGTCTACTTCTTCAGCCTGTTAAGGAGGAAGAGCCGAGGAGATCTCACTCTGGCTTAGGACTTACGGTTTCCAAGGAGTTTGTTTTAAAGCTGAGGCTTAGGGCACTAAACCGTTTCCTTCAAAAAATGCAGGAATGGACTAAGGGGATGGAGGCAAGGTGGGCTGCCAGCAGCAGGGAGACGATGGCGAGGCTCCATCAGGGACCTCGCTGACAAGACCTCTCTTCTACAGCTCCTCTCCCCAGGGCTCAAAACGCTGTTTGCAAACCAGGGGGGGAAGCTGACCTTTGGAAAACCCTAATGACACACCAAACCAAAATGCAGTGAGGGAAACAGGGTCCCTGGAGAGGAGAGAGGGAGGTACTCTGTAGGGCCTTGTGTAAACCTGTGTCTCAAAACGTCCTTACCACACCAGGGCTGGGGCTAGCCGCACACAGCAGCCCAGTGACCTGCCCCAGCCCTCAGAGAAAGGCACCCGTGTCTCCTGCCCGAGCGACGGCCCAGCCCCGCCGCGATGCGGGCGAGCACCGCCGGGGCCAGTCAGCGGGGCGCGGTGGAGAACGAGAGATCGGCGCTGCGGCAGAGCCTGTCCCACCTCGGAGCCCCGCTGGGTTACCTGGTGCAATGAGCACCCACTGGCCTGGGTGCCCGTCCGCGGCTGGCTGCTCCGCCCTGTGCACGCCCCGTAGCCCCCGCCCCCCGCCGCCCCCGCCGCCGCCGCCGCC